ACTACATTTCGAATTACTTTTACATAACTTAAATAATTCGCAAGTTTTTGACACATGAAAATATTATTAGATTTTGATAAAATTCAAATTATTTTAAAAACCTTTATATTTAGACATTATAAATCTTATTAAAACAAACACTTATTTTGCTCAGAGAATCCAAAAATGCTATAATATATAGGGTATTTCATTTAGAAAAACACAAGTTTGATACTTTTAGGGCTTTTGGGACACTGAACATTACAAAAATATTTTTAAAATGTGCCGATAAGCGTCTGTGGATTCATCAAATATTACTTTGCAAAAAACAAACGGGCTAGTCGCAAACGCCCGTGCCGTATAGCGTGAATAACCCTGTATAGTAGTTCGGTTGCAGTACTTAAACGACAAATTCTTATGGCTGGATGATCGGCCACTATCAATTTAACTTCCTCTTCCTGCTCAACAGAAATTATTTTTAGGGTGTTGTTATTATATCTCGGAGCGAACTGTTTTACTTAAGCGATTGCACAAATTTCTAATGTTTGTTTAATATCCCTGCTTTTGAACATTTTCCTTTATTTTTCCTGTTTGACTGCTTGGCAAAGGAAAGACAAAGCCCATAAAATGTTATAGGTTTTTATTATCTTTATACAACGGACGAACACATTATTCAAACATACACCGATTTAATAAATTAATAAGTTACAAAAATAACATCGCATCTAACTAATCTAAAAAGTTAAACGCGATTGATTTAAAAAACGTACAAAGTGTCTACACAATTAATTAGTTAATAGTCTACAGTGTGTTAAAGGCACTAGAAGGCACTTAGTAATCGTCGATAAGCTTCTCTACTGGTCTATTCAAGAATTTTTGGATTTTTAAGCATCAAACTCTCTACACTCGCCCACTTTTCGCACACAAATGTTTCGCAACTTGCGTCGATAGCAGACAAACAGAGAAATATCAGATTGGAACTTATCGGTCTAGTAAAGTGAAAAACGAAATGAACACATGCTTGTGAAACACAAGATGTAGTTGGTGCCCCATTTTTAAATTGCACTTGTAACTTTCCCAACTACATTTTTCCGATTGTGTGGACGACTAGCGAGTCATTTTATCCAAAATGGGTACCACCATGTCGAATTTGGGTCTTTTGCCCGGGTCTTCGTTCATGCAGATTCTGATCAGCTTGGACAAATGCGGAGAAATGCCCGGTTTCAGGCTGATACGCAGCCCTTCAAGCGCGATCCTCATCCCAACCTCCATGGGACTCTGGTCGGGAAATGGCACCTCTCTAGTAGCCAACTCCCACAGCAAAATCGCAAAGCTCCACATATCGGAAGCTTCCCAGTTTCTATAAAAAAGGATTTTCAGTTGCGGTTAAACGTTCTAAAAGGTTTCCACGCGCTGACCTATCGGTTATTTTTTTCTGCAGCGCCTCCGGCGACATCCAGGCTGGATAGTAGATCCTGCCCTTTTCCTGGAACGAAAATTTCGCGTCTGCCATGTTCAGTCGCGCCGTCAAGTCCTCCTCAATGATCACATGGCGACTGTTGAGGAAATATTCGGGAATCGTTCGCTCCAAACTGTGCAAAAAGGCCATGCCTCGGGCAATGTCTATGGCAAACTTTAGGGCTTGTGCGTTATCCACCACTATTCCACCGCTTCCCTCATGCAAAACATCGTAAAGGGAACCTAAAGTGTAATCGAGAATTGCAATAAACAACCAGATTAATATACCGAGCTTCCAAATCCATTGCACTGTTGTACTCTCTTGTCCATCGCTTACCTAAAGGCATGTACTGACTGATGACCACCAGCTTCTGGTTGCAGCACCCGATAACTGGCAGGATATTGGGATGCGAGAATATCCTCAATTTGGGAAATTCCTCGTTGAAATCCCTAGATATTCGAGCAGTGATGTCGCGCACTTTTAAAATCTTGGCCACGATATCGTTGTTTTGCCAGCGGCCCCTATAAGTGGTCCCGCTGTGCGTGTCCGCTACCATCTGCTTCAGGTCCAAGTCCTTAAAATTGATGCCTTTGTGACGGGAAAGGGTGGCGTCCCTGGACCGCGTCTTCATGCCTGCAATACGCACAAATTTCGTCCTTTTCCTCGAGCAATTTGAAACAAACTCTTACCCAACCAGCTCTGATCTTTGAACTTAATCTTCTTCAGATCCTGCCCGTTTTCTATGGCGATGTCGTGCAGAACCTTCGCCAAATTGCCTCGGGTTTTGTCCAGAGGAGTGTCGCCGTACTTGTTGGCGATGGACACTTTGGCTCCTTGATGCACCAGCTCTTCAGCTATGTTGGCGTAGCCCCAGAAACAGGCGTAATGAAGCGGTGAGTTTCCGTGTTCGTTTGTAAAGTTCAGATCTGACCTTTGTCGAAGCAGCTGCAATTTTTGGATTTTCACTTATAACACAGTCCAAGTGAACTTTTGCCCGGTAAAATAGGGACTTACTATTCCCACTATTTCCTTGTGCCCATTGGCTACAGCCAAGTGTAAAGGCGTATCATCGCCCATATTGGTGGCATTAACTCGGGCGCCTCTGAGTAACAGCATTTCCACTAGTTTGATATGTCCCTTCATGCTGGCCCAATGTAAGGGGCTGAAGCCATGGTCGTCACTGAAAAATCACTGTTTCTAGAAAAAATCCTCTCATGTAAGCAACTTGGTTGAATCCTCCAGGCAATTCAAACGGTTTTACTTATGAAAAACAGGCCTTATCGTTTCTTGTGTTCTAGAAACATTTAGAATTTTGACAATAGAGTTGGATATCCATATTGCATATTCTTGATGTGTATATTAATGTAATTGGAACATTACTTGAGCAACTTATTGAGTGACCTTATATGGAGACGCAACAACCATGGCCTTCACGAATGGTTATCTGGCCTTTTACTCACCCCTGGTTCATGTCATGTTCGGGATCGTCCAGCCAAACCCGCACCTGGAGAGCATTTCCCTCTTTGCACCACTGGAAAATATCCTCCATTGGGAGACACAATTAATTTGTCGAGTTTCGAACTAAAAATAAACAAGCTGCTGGGCGTTTTCCTGCCTATTGATGCTTCTTTACAGTTTCAATGCAATAAACTGCGGAAGGTGTTCGCGATTGTTTGAAACCACCACTTTAGAGCCAAAATCCTGAATTCACTTTCGTTTATATATGAAAAAATCGAAAAAAAGTGTAATCAAAAATGTTTTCAATTATTTATAAAAGTGACGTTTCATGACTGTGAGACGTCAATCAGGACTAGCGCATATAAGCCAACCTGACTCGTTGTTTAAATGGCATGCGCAACTGAGTTTGAGATTACATTACTCAAAACAAACTTCTATTTACCAAAACGAGTAACTATAAAAGAGTCAGCTATTATATTCACTGTCTCTACGCAAACATCCGTATGATTCAATGAATTCAAATGGTTTAGCCAGGATTACACGGAACGTTTTAACGTGCTATCCTCTAATAATGCAACAAACAATAAAAAAATCAGTTATTCGCACTGCTCATAGCCCCTGAAAATCCACGAAACACGAATCGTTTGGCAAAAACAATAAACTAATCATCTATAAATCCGCCCATTTAATTTTGAAAAAATTAGAAGAAAAAAATAGAGAACTTTGATGACAGACACTTGCGCATGTCATTTAAACGAGTCAGGTTGGCTTATATGTGCTAGTTCAAATAGGTTAGGCTCTGGTGCACATTTTTAAAACAGTTGGTTTTCCTCAAAGTTTATTCAGTGTTGCCGAGTTGTAGATTGGACGGATATTCGTTATTTTCTTAATTAAATATACAGTGCATCCCAATCAGTTGTGGCCAATTCAACCGCGCGTTTTACGTTTAAAAGTTGAATAAAAACTCTATAACAATGTGGCTCCAAAAATGTGGCTGTTTCAGAGTGTTACATTTTTCAAATATTTTTCACTTTAGATTAGATGCGATTTTACATTTTTTCCGCTTTATTTAGGAATTATTTCAGATAATCAAATGAAAAAAAATGGACTATTGGGAATATGTATTTATACTAAAATATTTCATTTTTGTGTGTGCCAGTGGTGCAGATTTGGGAGTAACATTGGATTGATTTGTCCCTAACTTCTACACCACTAGAGAAAAAAGCAACTTAAGAGAACAACTTGAAAGGCCATTAATTGCTACACAAAAAAAGCGTTTTTGTAACAAAAAAAAAACACCTTTTTACTCATGTTTGCTATAATCAAAAACCCCAGACACTTTCTTGTGTACAAGTTAAAATCCTTCTACTCACCTCGTAAACATGAGTCACAAACAAACAAAAGCTTTTTTGGGATTCCGTGTATAATGATGAATTTTAGGAAATAATAAACATATCCCAGTTAAAGCACATAATATTTATTTCATAATTTTTAGTTTTATACGGTTTTTTTGAAGTAGATATACTATTTACAAGTTCTGCTAGCGAGACCATTTACTTAAACATTGCGTTCCTTTCATCAGATCGAAGCCCGTTTTTTTGTCATTTTCGGTGCCACAAATCCTCAACTATTTTACTGATAGAGAGCTACGACGAAATCTTTTCAATGGAATTTCACAAGAACATTCGTGCTAAATAAAGTTTAATAGCTATACAACAATTTCTAATCAATACCCAACATGCTCTGATTATTTAAAACTCGGCTAATAAAATATGTTATACAGTTAAAATACACAACTTCGTCGTTCCGAAAAATACCAGCCGTTTCAATTCGTATAAAACTAACGATCTTTGTTGTATAAGTGGAGATCACAAACATATTGAGCCTTTGCCTGCCTGTTTTTCTTTAATTTTTTACTTACACAAGTGTTTCCATTGATGATTGTAAGTCCTGAAATTCCAATATTGCAACGCAAACGCTCAATTTATCACGTGCGAAGGTGTAAAACACCAAACCCAACATGATCTCACTGACAGAAACAGAAAATATTAGTTTTCAACTAATCTTTCGGCTTTAGCCAGGAAAAATAGAGTTCGCCTGCTGACCTAACCAGGTGGGTGCCCTCATTTTAGGACAATCATAGTAAATCTTAGCGCCTAAACGTTAAAAACAATCTAAGGAAATTAAAAAAGTATCACTTTGCAACAATAAAACAAATTAACATTTACACGGTTGCTCGGATTGTCTTTGTTGCGGGATTACCAATTCTGGCTCAAGTAGGCAGCGTCAGGAGACATGTTCAATAGGACAATAATTATTGGCAATTGCGAACAATTTAGATCTATTGGGAAAAATCAAGATCGTCAACCTTCGATTTATCTATTTTAAACTCGAACAAGCACAATTTTATTTCCTTAATTACATGACCAAAAAAAAAGAGTGAAGGATGTTTCATTTGTAATGGCCAAAGAACGTAATTGTAAAACTGGCGTAAATGTGGGTTTACACTTTTATCTTAGACAATACTAGTTTTGAGCGTTCAACGATCCTGATTGTTCATGAGACAGAAACCTGTCGCTGGATAAAAATCAAAAGATTAGTTTGTACTTTGACTATTTCCTATGTACAAAAAACAATTTAATATGGACCGATTCGTTCCTATTCGATTACCGTGACACTCAAACACAGCCCGAGCTTACAGCTTTTCACAGCTCTTTTCGAAGCAAACAGTGCAGTTACTGCTCAGACCTAATTTATATAATACAAAATAGATGCTTGCAATGACAACAGGATAACTGTGCCGACAAACACTGGCGAAACTTTTTTCTCCCCTTGTTTGCCCGAACATTCACACCATTATCTCGCAGCCAGTGCTGGAAAATTCATCTAAGGGACTTACAAGTATTAACGACTCCAGGGCAATTTAAAGAAGTAAATTGCAGTCGTTGATTTTTGGAAGTTTATCTAGGGAAAGTCAACAACCGCATCACTCTCCTTTGTTCAACACAGTTCTGTTCTAACTTAAGCGAAACAGGGGAAGTTCAACTGGATTAGTTTTTCTTCGGGGTTCCCCTCTGCGTCAATCCCTCGAACCGTTTGAACGTATAGTTGATGAACACCCAGTCCTTGTAGATTATTTCGCCATCTTGGGGCAAAGGTGCGGCAGCTGAAACAACAACAAAAAATTGTTATTATTTGGAGAAAGCGAAGAATTGAAAATGCTTGCTGTCACAAGCAGACACTTACGAATTTCTAATTTAACATCAGGGAAATCGTCAAAGTTGGACGTATCGTCTATCGATCGTACTTCGACAGGAATAGCTGCCGGTCTTTCTCTGATGTGCTCCCAGTCCACTCCCCTAAAGAAAGGTATTATTTTCAGATCTTCCAAGCCCTTCTGAGATCCCAGTCGTCGCTCAGCCTCACAACAGTATCTGAAACAAGCAAAAGCAATAATAGTATGGGTTGCTTTATAGGTTCTTTCGAGGCGACTCACTTGATTATCGTGTCTTTCGCCTCTTCAGAGATGGGAACCTCGGCAGGAAAAACGAGAGTTTCACGCCAATTCATCACTTTCCTATAGGTGTCTTGCGGGTTTTCGGAACAGAAGGGCGGATAGCCGATAAGCATTTCGTACATAATCACCCCAAGCGACCACCAGTCGCAAGCCGGCCCATACCCTGTTTGCAGAAAAACTTCAGGGGCAATGTAGTCGGGAGTTCCGACCGTACTGTACGCCAATGCTCGTCTGTTTTTCTTCCAGCTTTCTGCTCGTCGCTTGGAATCCATGGGAGATGACGTTATAACTGCAAAAAAATCACCCATTCTGACTTGACTCGATTAATTAACAAATACGTTCCACACAACAGTTACTTGGCAAGAAGCAGATAAATCATCAGAACTTTTACTGGAAACCATAAATGCAGAATGAAATGAAACTTTCTAATATCAACGAAAAATTAAGCGTTGTGTACAATGTAAAATGGATTTTCCAGTCTAGTTCCCAAATTGTCCTGAATTATCGTAGTTTCGGTTAGCCAAGAAAGTATTTACAAGCGGAATCATACATGAGATAACCGCTCATTACCGCGCAACATGTAAGTGAATTTTTATCGAATTACAAGAGGACAAACAACCATAATTATGAGGCTTATCTTAAGGAGACACGCGAGCACCTTGATTAAAATGTGAAAAATATATGAGTAACATTTTGAAAGGATGTGATTAAGATAGGGAGACGACTAGTCTGTGGAAATAAATAGATTTAAAGACAAATTTTCTAGCGAAGCATGCTAAACATCACAGTAATCACTAAAGCTTTTTCCAACCCCATTCTTGTAAAAAGTCGTGTTTTACTCACTGAAATCGGACGGTTTCGCCTGACTTAAGTCCCTGTAAAAGTCCGTCCTATGCGATTTTTTCAGCCCCGTGCACAGTCCGAAATCGGACAGTTTGAGGTGGCCTTTGGCGTCCAGCAGCAAATTGTCCGGCTTGATGTCCCGATGAATGAATCCTAACTTGTGAATTGAATCGATGGCCAGAGCCGTTTCGGTGATGTAAAATTGCGTGCACTCTTCGGAAAGGGTGTCTTTTTTCATTAGAAGCGTCATCATGTCGCCGCCCGGCAAGAATTCCATAATGAGGTACAGATTGATCGGATCTTGAAAACTGGGGGAAAAAAACATGCAAATATTGAAAAAAACAACAAACTATCAATTCCATACATTACTAAGGTGGGTTTAAGTGTTATCTTTCCGCTGGCGAAAATAAACGAATTCAAATGCAAATCATTTTTACGTAACAGTTCAAATATGATACAGTGATTAAAACCAGCTGCCTTGGCACGTCTGGAAACCGACTTAAATGCCAATTTTAATTGGATGCTCCCAGTTTAAAGGCTGCCTGATAATCTAAATATGCACATCGTGGAGTGTCTGCAGGATTTATTGAGTTAGATACATTTTTTAATGCGTCTCAAGAGCCTCAATGTGCACACTCAGATGTGCTAGATGAACATTTTGGCTTCTTGAGCTTCTTCTACTCACCTATAATACATTTTGACCACCCATTGATGATCAGCTTCCACTAGAATGTCTCGCTCGGCTCGCACATGTGCTACTTGCTCCTTTTCCAGCATATCGGCTTTCCGAAGAATCTTCATGGCGTATATGTGGCCAGTATCCTTTTTTTGGACTAGTCGGACTTCGCCAAAGGCCCCTCGGCCTATCACTTTGAGGGGCTCGAAGTCCTCGACACCGAGTCTGGAAAATTCCAACAATTTATTAATTAATGAAAATTTATACTTTGATTTTTATTATTCAGGTACAGGCTGGAGGACAGTGAATTTACGCCTCAAAATTCTCGTCGTCTTATTGTTAGTGTTCTTACTTGCATTTGAGCGCAGAAAACACCTTTTTTCTAATGTAATACCTAATATTTTATTTTATTTTCGACTTATGAAAGTTTCAATTTTCTTGTTGTACATAATATGAACCAAAAGCGCGATAGTTTTTCGGTTATTCGGATTTGACATGTTGCTAAATCTAAAATTTCTCCGTCCTGTTTAGACAGAAAATGTTGAAATTTGGCAGAACCATGGGGAAATTTTTGGACCGTGAAAAAGCGAATTTTCATAGTAAAAGCCGAATAACCAAAAAACTACCGCAATTTTCGTTCATATTATGTATAATAAGAAAATTGAAATTTTGAAGTCGCAAATAAAATATATGGTGTTTCAGTAGAAAAGTTGTTTTTTGCACTGAAACTTTTCTGACGCAACTTTTCGAATATGAGGATGAGAATGTTGATGTAAATAATACCAGATAAGCGGTTTCTCGGTTTCTTTTTTAATGAAAACCATAAAAAGCACCATAAACTTTTGATTCGGAAATTCGATTGTTTGCTTGTGGTATTTTTTTTTAAATAAAAGTACCAAAATACGGAAATTTGAAAAAACCTTGACATTGTGACTACGCTGAAGAAGAAAACACTCAGGAAGAATTTTGCCCCACAAATGGACAAAATAATAATGAAATTTGAATCCTCATTCTAGTTTGTTCTTTTGTTTATACTTTTCATTTCCACAATTCTTAAAACCCAGCAAAATCTTTCCAAAATTTATAAGGTCATTAAATATTCAATTAAAAAAAAAAAAATTCAGTTACTCATCGATTTTATGGGTGTTTAAACTGCAGAAAACGCTAGATAAAACATTATGAAACCTTGCAAAGTCGATCTTCTGAGTGATTCAACAGGCAAAAAGACATTCACACCTCAAACATATTTGGCGAAATTCATTCACTAAATAAAAAACTGAAAGCACCATAAACAAGCGAAAGAGCGTAGCGATTTGCTCATCAAATGGTAAAAATATTTATAAAAAAAAAAAAATGTTAATTACCTGGAACGTTTCAGTCTAAGGAACTCTGTTTCTTTTTGGGCATGCTGCAACCGTTTCTCGTGCCTTTGTTCTTCGGACAGACTTTCATCTTTGAGGGATTCTTCTAACTTAGCTAATCTGTAACAAACACAAAAATTTTCCATCCATGTTTCCCACCAAATGCCACCCTTAGTTTACACTATACACGGTGTCTCAAAAAGCATTAGCAAAAATTTCCCATTCTAGATGGAACCCAGGCGATTTCAGCTGGATGTTACTTAGATTACAGCTGCATAAAACGAAGCAGATTGATTCCGCACTATAATTTGCATCACTTACTAATAGATCAGCGCGCAATCAAATTTAATACCCTTGAGAAACCATAATCGATAAGCGGCTACAGACTTAACTGACCTTTGTTTTCGCTCTACATGCTGGGCAACCAGATTGCTGTAGTAGTTTTCTAAAGTAACTTTAGCCTTCGTGGCTTTGTCCTTAGTGTGGTCACTAAAATGGATGGTGTTCTCCGTTGCGGTCATGTCCAAGACCCCTGAAACAACGGAAAAGTTGTTGTAAATGCTGGGGTTGCGCAAAAAAATGAAAGATAAAACTCGGTATATGGTTGTAGAAAAAAGATAGATTCATCAGCGAAAAGGAAATTTATAATTCAGTTTTATCGACTGCGTCGACCTTGCCGTGTGTGGCAATTCACATTATCATTAACCTAAACCGTTCTTCGTTTTAACCCCTTGATGTCCCACTTTCAGCTTGGATAAATAAGTTGGTAAATAATGAATCGATTTCGTCCGCATGTTCGTTGTTATTTATCATTATCGACCCGCGACTTCCACTGTTTTATAGAAGTGATTAATCGAAGAACATTAAAACTATACAATAAAGTGAAGCGCTAGCAAATGCCTGAAACTATTCCACTAATTTTCCCGTAGAATTTCTAGACATTGCATGGAAAACTGTTTATTTGATCATGTAAATGATTATCGGACACGGTTGTAAAATTACTTTCTTGTATATTTTGGAGCCGGTTGGTATTTTCAAGCTCAATAAACGATCGGATTAATTTATGTACACAGATAGACCCCAGCCTTGACATACTCGTTTGATTTAAATAAAGATTTTACATAAATTGACCATTTCATTACCAAATTAATTGAAGAAGGCGAACGATGGGCTTGGAGTTTTCGTTCCAATCAAACAGCTTTTCCAAAAAAACTCGAGTTAATCAGTCGATTCCACGAATCTAAATCAACTAACTGGAATTGATTAGTTGCAGTGGCAAACTCAGATTAATCGGCCACATCTCAAGTTATTCATTTATTTCAATCATTGACTTCAAGTCGACCTTGTTCTTGATAATAACAATAATAATGAGCCATTTAATTCTAACGCTTTAAACCTTTAAAAAACTCTCACAGATTTCATTCAAATTTTTTCCAAATATTCGTCCAATTTAACTGGGTAAATAGTTACTTAAGCGAACAAGCTTTGCAAATATTAACAGGTAGTCAGTCGCGGCCCACATGAGTACTTGATTAAATAACGTTACTGAAAAAAGGTGTGTTTCTATAAAGAAAAATACTGTCGACACTAAGGATGGGACATCGATGATCCTCTAACATCGATGGTAGCCGTCGATGTTGACATCGAAAGGAAATATCGATGTTAGGGAAACATCGATGTTTGACAATAACGATGTTCTGATAGTTTGCAGTTGCATACAAATTTCAAATTGATTAACTTAAACTTGAATAATGTTATCTTACTAGTATTATGACATTAAAAATCGACTAAATTTATTCAACTTATAGTTGCCACATTACATTTTTCGGTCAACTGACGGCAAAAAGAGGCGTTTTACCGTGCCGCGGTATCGTTTGAATCGGCATTATCAGAGTTCGCAAAAAATGTTTCTATCTAGTATCAACATCAAATGTCCGATGTTTTCATTTCATGTTCGATGTTTTACTGAAGTCCCAAATATCCACATCTATGTGTTTAACATCGATGTTTTTCTCCCATCCCTAGTCGACACAGATAGAGAATATCTGCAGATATCTGGCAGGAAWTCGCTGGCTGGATTTGAAAAATTGCAAATTGATCAAGTTGTTGAACGTTTTTGTCTCAAAAAACTGCTAATAACACGCAAGAAATGAAGAAGTTGAACTTTTGGCAATTTAATACTGTAATATATTATAATCAGCGGCTGCAACGCGCTGATGATGACTAGTTTATTCGCTCGAAACATGTTTTTTTGACAGCATTGCAATAAATTCTTGTGGAGAACATTGTGCGTTCTTTGCCAATCTTTCGATTTTTCCTTCTTCCGACTTCCAACAAAAAATGTAAATTTCAAAATTTACTTATATTTTTTTTGGTTGAAAGAGATACAGAAGTATTTTTTGCAAAAGTTTCTTTTTGAATCGTTTTCAGTACAAGTATACGGGGTCAGGTCAAAAGTTTTCGGGCCTCAGCTAGTTGCCAAGTCTTTTTCAGTCAGTTCGCGTTTTAGAAAAAACTAATGAAAAAAGATAAACGTCATAAAGATAGGCCTTGTAGCTTCAAACAATTTTTGAATTTTTCTCGAATATATTTTACCTACAGGGTGAGCCCAAAAAATCAACTTTTTGGTCTTGCAGTAATAACATTTTCCATATAGAACCGATTTTCAAAATTCGAGCATATTGAAACTAACGCTTCATAGTCGAGCTAAGGCAACAATCCRATAATATACAGGGTTGCATGATTTAATTGAAGGTCTGCCAGAATCCCAAACTTCGGGGCGCAGTTCCGGTTKGGGCCACTTCTAATGCAACCATGYATATTGGATTTTTATCTTCAGTCGACTATGAAGTTTTAGCTTCAACATGGGMGCGMTATTTC